GGCGCCTATGATCCCAGCTATTTGGGAGGCTGAGACACAGAATCACTTGAACCTGGGAGGCGGAGGTTGCAGTGAGCCTAGATCGTGCCACTGCACTCCAGCCTGGGAAACAGCGAGACTCCATCTCAAAAAAAAAAAAAAAGAAAGAAATTTGGAAAAGGTTAAAAGAACGTGATCAAGTGGAGGGGCAATGGGAAGGGAAGAAATTTCCAGTGGAACAGCATTCTTACCTGCTTTTTCTTCTGGGACAGATTTTTAAATTAAGATATAATTCATGTACCATAAAGTTCACCCTTTAAAAAAAAAAAAGATGGAATTTCACCATGTTGATCAGACTGGTCTTGAACTCCTGACCTCAGTTGATCCGACTGCCTCTGCCTCCCAAAGTGCTGGGATTACAGGCGTGAGCCACCACGCCCAGCCTTTTTTTTAAGTTCATACTTTTAAAGTGTAAAATTCAGTCTTTTTAGTATATTCACAAAGTTGTGCAATATCTATTTAAAATCTAGAACATTTCATTACCCCGAAATAAACTCTGTACCCATTAGCAGTGGGATGGAAACTTTTTTTTTTTTTTGAGACACCATCTCATTCCATTGCCTAGGCTGGAGTGCAGTGGCGGGATCATGGCTCACTGCAACCTCCGCCTCCCAGGTTCAAGTGGTTCTCCAGCCTCAGCCTCCTGAGTAGCTGGGATTACAGGTGCCCACCACCACACCTCGCTATTTTTTGTACTGTTAGTAGAGACAGAGTTTCCCCATGTTGGCCAGGATGGTCTTGAACTCCTGACCTCAGGTGATCCACCTGCCTCAGCCTCCCAAAGTGCTGGGATTACAGGCGTGAGCCACCTTGCCCAGCCTTTTTTTTTTTTTGACACAGAGTTTTGCTCTTGTTGCCCATGCTAGAATGCAATGGTGCAATCTCAGCTCACAGCAATCTCCGCCTCCCAGGTTCAAGTGATTCTCCTGCCTCAGCCTCCTGAGTAGCTGGGATTACAGGCATGTGCCAACACACCCAGCTAATTTTGTATTTTTAGTAGAGACAGGGTTTCTTCATCTTGGTCAGGCTGGTCTCAAAATCCCGACATCAGGTGATCCGCCCGCCTCAGCCTCCCAAAGTGCTGGGATTACAGGCGTGAGTTACCTCACCCAGTGCCTTTTCTTTTTTTTGGATCACTCTGTCATCCAGGCTGGAGTGGCAGTGGCACAATCTTGGCTCACTGCAACCTCTGCCTCCCAGGTTCAAGCAATTCTTCTACCTCAGCCTCCAGAGTAGCTGGGGCTACAGGCAACTGCGGCCATGTCCAGCTAATTTTTGTATTTTTAGTAGCAATGGGGTTTTGCCATGTTGGCCAGGCTGGTCTCAAACTCCTGGCATCAAGTGATCTGCCTGCCTCACCCTGCAAAGTGCTAGGATTACAGATGTGAGCCACTGCATCTGGCCTTGAAAATTTTCAAATATCAAATCTAGGCCAGGAAAAGATGGCAAGAAATGCTCACCAAGAGATTAAAAAAAAAAAGTCATGGACAAAAAGGTTTGGGATCCTTGTGGTCCCTATGTACCTACTGTGTACAACTATTATATACCATTAAAAACTAAACATTAAAAAGGAAAAGAGCCTAGACATGGTGGCTCATGCCTGTAATCTCAGCAGTTTGGGAGGCTGAGGTGGGTGGATTGTTTGAGCTGAGGAGTTCAAGATCCACCTGGGCTGGCTCAAGCCTGTAATCCCAGCACTTTGGGAGGCCGAGGCGGGTGGATCACAAGGTCAAGAGATCAAGACCATTCTGGTCAACATGGTGAAACCCCGTCTCTACTAATAATACAAAAAAAAATTAGCTGGGCATGGTGGCGCGTGCCTGTAATCCCAGCTACTCAGGAGGCTGAGGCAGGAGAATTGCCTGAACCCAGAAGGCAGAGGTTGCGGTGAGCCGAGATCGTGCCATTGCACTCCAGCCTGGGTTACAAGAGCGAAACTCCGTCTCAAAAAAAAAAAAAAAAAAGATCCACCTGGGCAACATGGTGAAATTCTGTCTCTACAAAAAATATAACAATTAGCCAAGCATGATGGTACACACCTGCAGTGCCAGCTACTTGAGGGGCTGAGGTGGGAGGATAGCTTGAATCTGGGAAGTCGAGGCTGCAGTAAACCGAGATCATGGCACTGCACTCCAGCCTGGGTAACAAAGTAAGACCCTGTCTCTAAAAAAAAAAAAAAAAAAAAAAAAGAAGCTGGTGCCTAAACCAGCTCACATTTAGCCCTAGTAAATGTCTAATTAGAGATCTAAATCAGCATCTGGTTTAAAATCCTTCAACACCAACACACTACCTTAGGGCAGCTCACTTCTCCCCATAAGGGGCAACCATGAGTGGTCCAGAGCTAACAGGCTAAAGTCAGAGGCTGAGAGAAAAGAAAGAAGTTCCTTTCTCAGGACCTAGCCCATTAATAGAGAGTCACCAGACCTGTCTGGTGGGAGAAATCAGGTCACCTCCAGAGCTGAGTAGAGTTACTTGCCCTGCTTAGAGTCTCTGGTTTGGAGCCTTGAAACCTGACACACCTCCAGGAAAGGAAGGGAGAAAACGGGACCCAGAAGGCATCAGAGTGGTCCTGCCAGCTTCCCCTGTAGAAGCAGTTCTGACAAAGCCCTTTCATTCTGAGTCCCAAGCTTGGACCCTGGGGACCTGATGAGGCTGGACTCAGCTCCCTCCATCTTGCCAGGTGGAGGAGTGACCACCTGATGTAAGTTCAGCATTCTCCGGGGGCTCAGCAGCTGTGCAGGTCAGCTTTGGCAGTACACATTCCTGTAAAAGGAGGCTCACTCCTGTAATCCCAGCACTTTGGAGGCCGAGGTGGGTGGATCACCTGAGGTCACGAGTTCAAAACCAGCCTGGCCAATATGGTGAAACCTTGTCTCTACTAAAAATACAAAAACATTAGCTGGGTGTGGTGGCAGGCGCCTGTAATCCCGGCTACTCTAGAGGCTGAGGCCGGAGAATTGCTTGAACCCAGGAGGAGGAGGTTGCAGTGAACTGAAATCGCACCACTGCACTCCAGCCCCTCAGGACTGGGCCCACCTTATGATTCTACTTTGTACATAAAATGCTGGCCAAATCCTAGACTTACTGATGCTGGAAGAATTCTTTAACAGCTGACATTTGAGGCTGGGTGCAGTGGCTCAAGCCTGTAACCCTAGCACTCTGGGAGGCGAGGCAGGGGGATCACTTGAGCCCAGGAGTTTGAGACCAGCATGCCCAACATGGTGAAACCTCATATCTACTAAAAATAAAATAAAAAATTAGCTGGGTGTGGCGGCTGGCTTCTAGCTCGAGGTTGCTGTGAGCTGAGATTGTGCCACTGTCATTCCTGGGCAACAGAGCCAGACCCTGTCTAAAAAAAAAAAAAAGCCAGGCAACGTAGCTCACTCCTGTAATCCAGCACTTTGGGAGGTCTAGGCGGGCAGATCATCTGAGGTCAGTAGTTCAAGACCAGCCTGACCAATATGGTGAAACCCCGTCTCTATTAAAAATACAAAAATATTAGCTGGGTGTGGTGGCCAGCACCTGTAATCCCAGCTACTCGGGAAGCTAAGGCAGGAAAATCACTTGAACTCCAGCCTGGGCAACAGAGGGAGACTGTGTCTCAAAAAAAAAAAAAGCTAACATTTCTTCATTTGTTGAGCCTGTCCTATGGGTTACTTAACAGCAACTAAACACTCCCCCTGTTTATAAATGAGGGCACAAAGGTAAGCAAAGAGTCTTGGCCAAGGCAGGCTGGGAGTCAAACCCGGGCGGTTTGAATCCAGAACCCCAAATGTTCACTCTTGTGTTAGCCAAATCCAATCCCCTTATGATTCAAGAGGGAAACTGAGGCCCAGGTAAGTATAACGGCTTTTCCAAGGTCGCACAGCCAGCCAAACCTCTCGGAGACCGGTCCAGGGCTGTCTGGACTCCGGAGTGTGATGAGGATACCTTGGCATCCTTTTTCCAGCAGACCCCGCCCAGGCCCAGCTGGGTGAGCTGACTCAACGGGCGGGCACTGAGTTTTCCGATCCTGCCCCATCCCGCTGCTCTAGAGGGAGTCCCGCTCTCGCGCCGGACGGGTGGTAACTTGCCTAAGTGAAACCGGCAAAGCGCCGCCCCTAGGCGCTCAGCGGGCTGCTGCGGCGCTGCTCAGACAGTTCAGCTAGTCGATGCGTCAGCTAGGCCTGGCTGGCCGCGGGAAGACTCGCCGCGAGCGTTCGGCTGCTCACTTCTCCATTGGCCAGTCGGGCCTCCAGGGCGGCACCCTGAGGCAGCTCACTCCTGTGATTGGGCGGCATCGGCACCGGGCCCCGCCTCCAGTCCCGGGCTGTGAAGGCGGGACAGAGCAAGGCGTTCGCAGGTTCTGGCGTGTTGCTGGTTGCCGAGAGCGGAGGCGGCGAGCTCGGCAGGCAGTGCTCCCCGCAGCCCTTCTCACCCAGGTTGTCCTTCCTCCCCGCCAGTCGGTTTCCTTTTGTCTGCATCTCCGAACTCTGTGGGACACGACTCTCTCCTGAGATCTGGGGTTTTAGGGTTGCGCTATACCTCTGCCTCACTCAGATGGTATTCCCCTCCGCTGAGATCGGAGCCCGTGATGAGACTGTGACCTGCTTGCAAATCGGGTGCTCAGTGCCGCTCGCTACTGCGGCGCTGTCCTTAGATCTCACGCCGGAGACTTCACTGTTTCCTGCCCCGCCCCACCTGAGCTCGTCAACCTCGCGGCTCCCACTCACCTCCCCTCAGCCCGGCAGAGGAGCCTTGGCGCCTCCTGTGGGTTCACCGGCCCCTTCCGGGCCCGTCCAGTGTGGGGCCTCCCTGAAGGACAGAGCTGGACCCCGGCCTCACCTGGACTCAAAGTCTTGCGTGCGGGTCACTGAGCACCCAGGGAGGTCAGGGTCCTAACTCAGGTCCAAGTTCAGGGTCTCTAAATCAGATTCCAGTCCCACTCCCAGCCCATCGCCAAGAACTGGAAGAGACAGGAGGAGTGTTACAGGGGAACTTTATTGAGAGGAAACATGATCACACCCAGCCGACATGCTTTCCCTCAATCTCGATCTTGCACTGGCAAGCGCACGCACACACACACACACACACACACACACACACAATCTCTAGCCCCTACCACTGTGCAGTTCTCAGGCACAAGGCGGGACACTTACTCCTCAATTCCTAACATCAGGCAGCAGGGGCAGGAGGGAGGCAAGATCGGGGAGAAGTAGCCTGGTCGTGGGGTCGGCAGGAAGCGGGTGCAGAGAGCAGGGGTGGGGCATGACCAGTGATTAGGTGTGCTCAACAGCTGCGAGAAGAGTGGGATCCCCAGCCCCAGGTGGCCTCGGCTCTGCCAGTCCCTTTCCATGGAACCTTTTGGAGCAAGAACAGCGCCTGGGGGAGAAGGGTGGGGCCTCTCACCCCATACTAGTCCTCTTGGCAGGGTGGGGTACTGGAGGGGGCAGGGCAGGGCCGGCTGGTGGCGGGCAACACTCAGCTCTGGGGCTCCTGGGGCGCCTCGCCCCCCTCTTCCCCGGCGTTGTCAGCCGTCCACAGGGTCAGGTTGTCTCGCAGCAGCTGCATGATGAGGGTGCTGTCTTTGTAGGAGTCCTCGCTGAGGGTGTGCAGATCAGCCATGGCCTCGTCGAAGGTGGTCTTGGCCAGCGAGATGGCCTCCTCGGGGCTGTTGGCGATCTCGTAGTGGAAGACGGAAAAGTTCAGGGCCAGGCCCAGGCGGATGGGGTTGGTGGGCGGCATCTCCTTCTTGCTGATGTCCATGGCCTCCTGGTAGGCTGACCGGGCCGAGTCAATGATGCGCTTCTTGTCGTCACCGGTGGCCACCTCAGCCAGGTAGCGGTAGTAGTCGCCCTTCATCTTCAGGTAGAAGACCCGGCTCTCGGCGTCCCCAGACTCCTGGATGAGGTGTCTGTCCAGCAGGCCCAGCACAGTGTCGCACACGCCCCGGAGCTCAGTCTCCACCTTCTCTCGGTACTCATGCACCTCGGGGCCCTTCTCCTCCGAGCCCTCCTCATTGCTTTTCTGCTCAATGCTGGACAGGACCCTCCAGGCAGCCCTCTGGCCACCCACCACGTTCTTGTAGGCCACAGAGAGCAGGTTTCGCTCTTCGCAGGAGAGCTCCTCGCCCTTCTCCACGGCGCCCTTCATGAAGGCTGCCATGTCCTCATAGCGTTCGGCCTGCTCTGCCAGCTTGGCCTTCTGGATCAGACTGGCTCTCTCCATGGCTCTGGGAACAGACAGGAGGGCGGCGGGTAACTGCTGCCTGGGACCAATCCCGGACTCTGTGCCTCTCCTGCTTTCGGCCTGCCTTTTGGCTGGGTGGCCAGGCCCTGAGAAGGGTGGGGAGGAGCAGGGGGCAGGACCAGGGCCCAAGACCTGCCTCCCTCTCCTCTCCTCCCCACACCCTTTCCGGCTCTGCATGAAAGGTAAAAGGGTTGGGATGTGGGAGTGAGTCATCAGGACAGTCAGCAGGAGAAATCTGGGCGTTGGCCCCACCTGCACAGGTGCCTTTCTGGGCTCCACGCTGCCCCCTCTTGTTCAGGACTGGCATTACATGACTGCCCACATCAGGAAGCTGCCTGGCTTCTCATATCAGATCCTCTTTCACAGTGCCCTTCCAGGGGCTAAGGATGGCTTTAGCCCCTGGCTGCTTCAGCCTTGATAGAGCTCATAAAGGTTCAGGAGGATGGGGTTCCTAATCCGGAGAGGTAACTTCCCCCGCTTGGTTCAGGGGAGAATAATTCATGTATAGGTAGGGCTATACAGTTTCTCAAGCACTTTTATATTCATGATCAACTTTAATCCCCTCCATGTCTCTGTGACATACACAGGACCATAGAGATGGGTACACTAAGTTTCAGAGAGGGGTGAGATTTGCTCAAAGTCACATAGCCACCAATTCCCTGAAACTCTTTTCTGCACCCTACCTCCTTTAGATTTTCTCCCATGAGGCCTCTGACCTATGAGCTCCAGGCTGTGTTTGGAAATGAGATCCAGGCTGCTTCCTCAGTCTACCTGAAGACAGTTCCATCCCCCAGATGGGTCCCCTCTGAGCTCCCAGAATGCACAGGTGGCAGCTTTCGGAGTGCCACTTAATAAAGTGTTTAACAAGCAGCCTCTGACGCTCCAGCCCAGCCTTTGTAATTAGTCACCCAGTAGGTTTGTTGAACACATTTCCCATCACTACACAATTTTCCCTTTCAAGTTGGTGGCCTGTTGCCACTTGTTTGAGGACTTACCCTCTGGCCCTCCATGCCAGGTCACCTGCCCTCTCCAAGCCATATGCCATCAGGTACCAGCGGGGCTTCCAGAGGGTGGGGTCCAGCTCCCCAGCTGTCCCACTTTCCTGCCTGACTCAGACTGCCCTCTTGTCTGAGGCTGGGAAGCAGTCCAGTTTGATCCCCCAGGGGGGACGCTAGCAACCTGGGGAGGGAGAGGACTGAGGAAGGTAGGTGGCAGTGACACATATCATTCTGTTTTATGGGGCAGCAATCCCAGCTACGTGATGCCTCCCCCAGCCTGTCTCAGAAGTTTCCCTGTTCCTTCTCTTTTTTTTTGAGAAGGAGTCTCGCTCTGTCGCCCAGGCTGGAGTGCGGTGGCAAAATCTTGGCTCCCTGCAACCTCCACCCCTCCCAGTTCAAGCAATTCTTCTGCCCCAGCCTCCCGAGGAGCTGGGATTACAGGCACACCACCATGCCCAGCTAATTTTTTGTATTTTTAGTAAAGGCAGGGTTCCACCAGGTTGGCCAGACTGGTCACAGATTTCTGACCTCAGGCAATCTGCCTGCCTCAGCCTCCCAAAGTGCTGGGATTACAGGCGTGAACCACTGCACGTGGGCTTTTTTTTTTTTTTAATAGAGACAGGATCTCACTACATTGCCTGGGCTCAAGCGATCCTCCTGCCTCAGCCTCCCAAAGTGCTGAGATTATAGGCATGAGCCACTGTGCCCGGCCTGTCCCTTCCTTTTGACCATAGCCCCACCTCTGACCCCTGGCAGAGTCCTCAGAGATGGAGACCTCTGTTGCCAACCTTCTTTCCCTGCTTGCTGGGGCCCTGGCCTCAAGTTTCATCATGAGTTTCACTTAAGGATGTTGGCATTGAGCCTACAGGGATGGATTCCTGCTTATCTGCCCCACCCCTAGCCAAAGCTTAGATAGGGCCCAGGGGTAGGGCTCCGTTTGCTGGGATTCTGCCAGCCTAATAGTTGAGCCAGGATAATTTCACAGGCCTGTGTCTCCCCCAGGTACCCTGAGTGCCTGAACACTCATGTTCCCTCCTGGAGGGAGGCTTAGGCCAGAACTCTGAGGACCAAAGATGAAATCCTTCTCTTTGCCACAAGGAGTAGGGACATGTCTGGGCTAATAACACAGGGTTTCTAAGGAAGTAAAGGGGATTTCAGGTTTGACATCCCAAAGATTTTGCTGAAATCGGAGAACTGACGCTGAAAACGATGGGAACGAACTAAAATACCAACTTATAGGGTATCTTTAGGTAGTGAGACAGTGATTTTGCTTCCCTTTGATTTTCTTTCTTTTCTATTTTTTTCTTTTTCTTTTTCTTTTTTTTCTGAGATAAGGTCTCACTTTGTCACCCAGGCTAGAGTACAGTGATATGATCATGGCTCACTGCAGTCTCAACCTCCTTGGGCTCAGGTGATCCTCCCGCCTCAGCCTCCTAAGTAGCTGGGACTACAGGTGCTCACCACCACGCCCAGCTAATTTCTGTACTTTTTGTAGAGACAGGATCTCACCATGTTGCCCAGGCCAGTCTCAAACTCCTGGGTTCAAGCAATCCTCCCTCCTTGGCTTCCCAAAGTGCTGCGATTACAGGTGTGAGTCACTACACCTGGCCCTTTTGATTTTCTTATTCTCTCCAATTTATAAATAGTGAATATGTATTATTTTTCTATGAGATATAGAGTAGCATAGTATCTACGGAATCAGACTGCCTAAATGTAATTCTTAGCTGTTTGTGGCCTTGGCCAAATGATTTAAGCTCTGTGAGCCTTAGTTCCTGGATGTATAAAATGGGACTTGTGAGAATTACATGAGTTAATGGAAAGCACAGTAGAATGGATGGCAACTATTTTTTTCCTTTTTTTTTTTTTTTTTTTTGATACAGAGTTTCACTCTTGTCACCCAGACTGGAGTGCAGTGGCATGATCTTGGGTCACTGCAACCTCTACCTCCCGAGTTGAAGCAATTTTCCTGCCTCAGCCTCCCCGAGTAGCTGGGATTACAGGCGTGCACCACACCCAGCTAATTTTGATTTTTTTTTTTTTAAGCAGAGACAGGATTTCATCATGTTGCCCAGACTGGTCTCGAACTCCTGAGTTCAAGTGATCACCCTGTCTCAGCCTCCCAAAGTGCTGGAATTACATATTTGAGCTACCGCGCCTGGCCAGATGGCAACGATTATTACCATGTGAAAAAATCTCATCAACTTTATTATGATAATCATGTACTCACAGAGCACTAACACAGAGCTAGGTTCTGTGAAATGAGGAAGTACCCTAAGCCAGGACTTAGTCAAAGGCCAGACCTTCCCAGCTGGGTGTCTACAGCGGAGAGGAGGCAGTTTGCCTATAGCCTTCTCCAGATGGATGGTCAGATGTGCTCAGCACTGCCTCCTTCCTCTCCATCTAGAACAGGGGTGTCCAATTTTTTGGCTTCCCTGGGCCACGTCGGAAGAATTGTCTTGGGCCATACATAAAATACACTAACACTGTATATAGCTGATGAGCTAAAAAAACATATATATTGCAAAAAAAATCTCATGTTTTAAAAAGTTTACTAATTTGTGTTGGGCTGCATTCAAAGCCGCATGCCGCCTGTGGGCTATGGGTTGGACAAGCTTGATCTGGGACATTCCTGTGACCTCAGCAGACCCTGGAGCCTCAGGGGCCTTCCTTTGTTCTCGTCATCCAGCCAGGGCTTCCCCAAGTCCTGGGGGAAAGCTGGAAATCCCAGGACACTGGGAACATGGAAGGCAGGGCCTGGCAGGTCCAGGAACTTCGGAGCTTCTGAATCCAGGGAGGGAGCATTTGTTTCCTGCCACTTAAGCCAGGTGGTAGTTCACGCCCCCAGCATAGCCATGAGCAAGGGCAAGGAAGCCCCGTCATTCCTACTCCTCACCTGCTGGAGCTCAGGGGTGCATCTGGGAGCCAGGCTGCCTGACACCTCCTGCCCGCTCTGGCCTGTTGATCCTGACTCAGTTCCTGTCTCAGATACCTCCCTTTGCCTCCGGGCCTCCATTTCCCAAGTTCAGGAGCTCAGACGGGTAGGAGACAGCAGGCCCTGGCAGGGCACAGAGCTCCACAGTCAGCTGTCTGAGTCAGCAGGACAGGAGCTGGGGTTGCAGCCCAAAGGGGCTTTCCTCATCCCGCCTGCTACTTCCTCACCCTCCCGAAGAGTGAGCATCCATCCTACCAGAATGGGTCAGCACAGCATCTCACGGGCTCTGGCCCCATAGTCAACCAATCCTTCTTAGCTGGCAATAGGCTTTGAGCAGTTGTGATGAAGAAGGCAGCAAGCACTTGCTATCTACCGCCACTGGGGACAGAGGACAGGGCCCTGGTAGCAGTGGGAGGGACTCCAGGTAGACTCTAGAAAGAACTTCCTAAGAAACATTTCTGTCTTGGAATGATCAAATTGAACAGGTGGCCAGAGGAAGCTCTAGCACCTTTTTCCACTGGATAGTTGTGAACAAGAGTCCAGTTACCTAGCCAAGAGCTCACTCTACTAGTTACCTTTGGGAAGGGATATTAAATGATTTTTAAAAATTGCTCCTTGTAGAGCAGGGTGACCCCACAGGCAGTGTCCCCAGGGTAGCCTACATTACTTTTGAGTGATTCAGTGGTTCTGAGTCTTTTTCTCCTCAAGGCACTGCTGTTCAGAGTATCCCAAGTCTCCTAAACCCGTCCAGTCTAGGAGACAGTGTGGAATTTATGGAGAGAGAATGGAATGAGGTCAGGTGTGGGACTGCATCCCAGCTCTGTTATAAGGCCTTGGGCAGGTCCCTTCCTGCCTCTGGGCTTCAATTTCCCTAACAGTAAAACAAGGAGGCTGGCCCAGATCAACTCTAAGCCCTCTACTGGCTATGACATTCTCTAATTTTAGGGTTTATCCAAGATCTCATCCTCCCACCGCTGTATTCATTTCTTGGGTGGTGCAGACGGGTCAGAGCTTGGGGCAGAGATCAGGTTCCGACCCTGGATTTGCTGCTTTGCCAGCTAGGTGACCTCGGGCAGCTCCTGTTTCTTCCGAGTCTCAGTTCCCTCATCTGTAAAAAGGCTGACATCATCTTCTTCAAAGGTTCAGATGAGAAAATGGGCTTGGGGCTCGGCAAGCCCTTGCTGAATGGGAGTGGTAACTATTTTTTAGCCCATAGTACAGTGTATGCACGTGTGTGTCTTGATGTGAGGCAGCAGCTGGGGAGAGTGAAGGTTCATGAGATTGGTACCCTGGGCTGGTTTGGTTCATGGCTACGGCAGTCCCAAACAACTTAAACCCTCTGTCTCAGCCTGGGCTGGGACCTTTCAGAATCCAGAGGTCAGCTAAGGCTGGGCGGTCACTGGAATTGAGACCAGAAGTTCTGGAGGGGCACAGCGAAAAGGATGTCAGCCACTTTTCCTGTGTCCTTTCTGGCTTCATTGTGCTTTTAAATCTCTAGAGCAGCACTGGCCAGCTGGAACAAAGCTGGGAGTGAGGGGAAGCCAGACGTTCTGCACACCCGCTGCAGGTCCCATCCCCAGGCCCCAAAGTAAAGGTGGCACCAGACAGCCAAGGGTATGTCTTGAGGGGACATCTTTATTTTGGTTACAAAAAGGTACAGGAAAGCAGACAAGCAGCCCACAGCCCTGGGCTCAGCTGATTTTCCTTGGCCCAGCTGTTTTCTTTCGTTAGTTCCCCTGAAGAGCATGGGGCTATACACAGCTAGCTAGCTCAGCCCTCAGTGCCTAGAGCAAAGGATGCAAGCACTCTCCCTGCATCCTACCTACTCCAGTGGAGGGTTGTGGGGAAGGTGGACAGGCCGTGGGAACAGTGTCAAGCCAGTTGTGCTTAGAACAGTCACCAAACTTGTTCAGCAGCGTCATCCACCATCAACACCCCAGCTGGCTCCAGAGGAAACCTGCTGGGCTTGACTATGGTTAGTCTGATCTAGGGGGGTGGAGGGGCAGGCTGTAAGGCAAGATTCCTAGAGTCTTGACACCTCACAAATCCGGGAAAGGGAAAGTCAGTGGATGAGAGAGGGAGCCTCTCAGCATAGAGTCACATTATTGTGCTGATGGCTGCGTTATGGCTTTCTACACTCTGGCCGGCATGGGGTGAGGGTGAGGCAAAGAGGCCAGCCGCCCCCCACCCCCGTCCCCTACGGGGGGCCCTAGAGAGCATATAGGCCAGGCAGGCTCGGGGGCAGACCCTGTAGGCACAGATGGTGGCAGACCGCCAACAGGTTAGGCAGGTGGAGGTGCTGGGTGCCTGGCTCCCCCCAGGCCACTCCTGGAGAGGCAGAGAGCAGCAGTCCTCAGGAGGTCCTTAAGCCCCTGCACACACTGGAGATCCCCGGCAGGACAGCAAAGAAGGAGAAGAGAGAGGGTTAGCTGGATTAGGAGGAGGGAGGTAGCCTTCAGGGGCCCTGGTGGTGGGGACAGGTGCTGCCACAGCACCTGCCTCTCCCCCAGAGAAGGGCCAAGGCTTGGGCAGCAGGCAACGAAGCAGGAGAGAAAACGGGCAGGTGAGAGAAAGCACAGCGGGACAGAAAGCCAGGACACAAGAGTGTTAGTGACCAGTAGCCCCTGCATACCAGGACCCACCAGCCCAGACCCAAGCACCTCCAGGCAGGTTTGCCATCCTCTCCCCAGCCTCACCCTCCATCTCCTCTTCCAGGTGGAGGTCTGCTCTGCGCAAAGCTACTTCCTTAGTGCACAATGGGGCTGGGCTCTAAGCCTTGCCCCACATCCCGATCCTTCTGCTCAGGGGGGATCCCTGGGACCCTACCGGCACCAGCACACACACCACACCACACACCAGACAGATGGATGGGCTCCATGGGGTTGGCAAGGCATGCAATGAGGATGAGATGGTGTGTGAGGGGAGCGGGCAGTGCTGGCCGACAGGGGAGAAACAGTCTTACCAGCTAACCCTCTGCAAAGAGGCCTGTTAACTCCCTCAGGCTGTGCAGGAGATGGCAAAATCCTGACAGGTGTCCTCCTGAGGGAGATACCAGAGAGGTGGGCCAGTGTTATGAGTTGTCTGGCTGGGCCCTGCTGCCCAGGTGGGAGGTGGTGCCAGGGAAGCTCCAGCTCTTGCACTGGAATCTACCGTCTCCAGTGTTTTCTTAGCTGAGCACTCACTGGGGATCAGAGAGGAAAGGCAGTAGGGAAGAAGAATTTGGGAGTCTCCACACCCCTGAGGCAGGGGAAAGTTGAGGGGAGGAAGAGGGAACAGGATGGCTTCTTTTCACGTGACCATGGGGGCTCAGCCACAGCCCTCTCTGCTCTGCCTCCAGTGGACAGAGCTCCAGCCAGGTGAGGGAAAATGCAGCCACATCACTGGGCTGCCTGCCTTCTCACTGTCTCCCCAGGAAAGAACCAAATTTGTCTGAAAGAACAGAGGGGCTGTCGGCTGGGGCCTCAGCAAAGGAAAAGCAAACAAAAACCGAACCAAAGCAAATCAACTCTTACAAACTAAAGTTTTATTACAAGCAAGAACAGAGAATGCTGGCTTAAATAAAAAGTAGGTAGAAGCCCCTCCTCCAGCCAGCTTCGTCCTCACCTCCCAGGGCCACTGCAGTGATGGCCCAGGGCCCTGAGGCTGGGGCGAAGCTGTTTCTCCCAGAGGGGACCCTCTGTGACTGCCATTCCCAGCTGTCTGTGACCACTAGCCTCTGGAGTGAGAAGGGCAAGATCTGGGGACTTTCTATGTCATTTTCCAAGAGCTTCAGCCCACCTGAAGGGCCAAGGAGGTGGATGGTGGGACAATATCTATTTTGATAAGAAATTACAGCTCCCAGCGGAGGAGAAACATCCTCTGAGTTTCTGGCCCAGACTTAGGCCAACCTTCACTTGCCTCCTGGCTCACCCTGTACCTTCCTTCCTTTTCTCTGATTGGAGGTCCCCGCTTGGCAGAAACACCTTGTCTTCCAGCCCCTGGCGCTGAGTCCCATACTCAGAGCTCAGAGGAGGGGATGTGGCTTGTAGAATGGCAGCCGCTCCCGAGAGCCATCACCCCACCCACCACGCCCAGGCTCAGCCAGTCTGGGCAGGTCCCAGCTGGAAGCCTCACCTGGGGGCTGGGGGGCAGGGCTGGGGGTAGAATGGCAGAGTCCCCAGACACTGGCCGTCTGAAGTTCATAGAGGAAGGAAAGATAGGAGGCTGGGCTGAGCCCCAGTGGGAGCCCAGGGTTCTCTCATGTGCCCCCATCCTCCCAGCTCAAGCTGCTTCTGAACACTCAAAGGGGATAGGGCAGGGGGCAGCCCAGGGGGTGTGGGAGCCAGCCACATTCATACAGGGCACACACGAACACACACACATGCACACATGCTCTCACTCATTCCAGCCAGAAGGTCTCTTGGAATAAACTTATTAAAACCAACTAGCCTTCTGATGACCCTTCACGTGGCACTACACAGACAGTAATGTGGCTTTTTTTTCTTCCATTTAAAAAAGACTATGTAGAAAAGACGTCTACAAAATTGTGCAAAATACCCAGCATTAATAAACCCGTTTCAAGTATTGCCAGCATGAGCATAACCCAGCCATCCCCTGACCTGGCTTGGGTGAGAGGTTGGGGGGCAGGCTGGGATCCCTTAAAGAGCTCTTCGAGGGCAGGGGAAGGATCAGGCTCCCACTTCCATGGTGCTGACCAGAAACTGCACAGGAGCTGAGGCTGAGGGTGCCTGGCTGGCCCATTCACCTTCGTCTGATACAGACTGCCCTCACCCACCACCAACACTGTCTTCTCTACTGGAACCCCAGTTCTATCCTATTGGCCAACTCCATTAAAATAAGCGGGGGGAAACCCCAGAATCACCAAAAACTCCCACAGAAGAAAGAACAAGTATCATCACCAAGAGAATGGAGGAGCCCACAGACCAAGCAATGCAGGCAGTCTTCCTCTCCACAGCCCACTGTCCGGAGATGACCACTCATCAGTCCCGCCTCACCCTGAGGACCCTGGCTAAGCAAGGCCCAAGCAGTTCTCCCACCTGGGAAGCCTCACGCTCAGTTCACAGCCTCACTCACACAGGGCTCGCCTGGCACAGGCAAGGACTTGGTGTGGTTCCCTGGGTGGCCTCCAGAGGCTTTGGCCTCTTCTGGCACTGATCAGCTTGGGGAACCTAGGGCCCAAGGCTGTGGGAACCTGGGTTTGGGGAGCAGAGGGCATAGCCATAAAACAGTTTGGGGAAAGCCACGCGGGATGGGAAATAAATACGAAAAGACTTGAGTCTTTGGCAGTTCTGCTTCCCTTGGACGGAACAGGGAGGGTCCCGGCAGCTGAGTGCAGAGGGGCAGACAGGCCAGCAGGTGGCAAGTACTGAGCTGCGGTCAGGGGTGGCCTCCTACCATGCTGGCGTCAGGCTTGGCTCTGCAGGCTGGCTCATCGCTTCTGCTGGGTGAGGGCAACACGGTGTCGGACTGCACAAATCCCCTCCGGTCAATCAGGCTTCCAAAACACAAGGGGGACACGTGAGGGCCCTGCCTGACACCGAGGCTCCAGGCCAGGGGCTGGACGGTAGAGTCTATCTCTCAGCCAAGCAAAGGCCCAGGCTGAGAAAGGTTGAGGAAAAGAGAGCTGCTCCCCATCTGGAGGCCCAAGACCCTTACCTCTGGCAGGCCTCTCTCTGCCCTCTGGCTTTTGGCCACAGAATTTATTCACTATTAATTCCAACTGGCCCACCTGTCTGTTTGGCTGCCAAGAAGCCAGGCTGCAGGTGAGGGGGAAAGCAAGGATGAATAGGTATTTGGTGGCTATGAGATTCCTATGTTCTTTTCCTCTCTAGGCAGGCTGGGTGACAGGGACACTGGGTGGAGTGAGGGGACATGACTGTGTGGGGATGACTTGTCCTGGCAGTGTCCATAGCAATTTAATCCCCATTCTAAAGCTCTGGTGCCCCCTGGTGTCGGGATGAACAGGGAGCGTCCGGCAGGGCTGAGTCCCTAGGGTTCCTACTGCCAGGAGAGGATGGAGTCACCACCCAGTCCAGGCAATGGGCAACTGGAAGGGCAGTATTACTCAAGTGTGGCCAAAGCAGTCATGGTGGTTAAAATCCAGGGAGCAGGATTAACATGTCCTATCCAATGCTCTCCTGTTTTACATTTTGTACTTAATTTTTTTCTACAATGAGCAGGTGATTAATAACAATTCTCCATGGAATTCCTTCATGTGACAAATGCCCTCATGCATTCAGCAGGGGGTGGTGGACGGAGGGCATCTGGGGTGGGGGGGGGTCGGCTGATATCCAGGAACACTTTGAGAGGTGTGGACTCAAGGGCCACCCCCCACTGGCCAGGCCTGGCCCTGTGACCCCTCTTCTGCGCCCTGCTCTCTTACCTGGGAGGTAGGGGGCCACAGAGCACAGCGCAGCAGTTGGTGATAATACTTTTATGGCTGTAGGGGTTGACAGAGGCCTCACCGCCCCTCTTGCTGGACCACGAGCCTTTGATCTGCAAGCAGGAAGGAGGCCTGGGTCAAGTACCTCCTTTTGCTTCACTTTTCTAGGAGGGAGGTCTAGAGGCTGGGGACAGCTGGCTAATTTTGAAACCAATTCTGGTTAGAGAAGGGGACACGTCTTTCATGTGGGCCATTCAATGAGGATGTGGGGGAACCCCTGGCAGAGATTAGGAGGTCCCAAAGAGGAGATGACAGAGCAGAGCCCGTGAGAAGCATCCAGAGGAAACGTATTGGATGACTCCTCCCTTCTCTGGACAGCCACTTCTGAAGGAGGATAGTGCAGGGGCGCAAGGCAAGGGCTGACCTGCCTGTGAGCCCCGGCCCTGCTACTCACTGGCTGCATAACCTGGACAGATCACCACTTCTCTAAGCCTGAGTCCTCATGTGGAAAATAGGGAAAATAATACTAATTCTCAGATGCCATTGCTGGGACATTAGATTCATTCCTGCCAGATTCTCTAGCTCTTGTGAAGCCAGCTATTGAAGGCACTGGGGAGTTTAGCAATGAAGAATTCCTGCCTGACTTTAACCCAGAGTTTTCTACACCTATTTGGCCACACACTCCTTTCTCTTTAACCTCTGGTAATGTGCTGCAGAAGTGGCACCCAAGAAGCTACTGCAGGAGATGTGGGCTGTTGTCATTTCTGCTCTCACCATCACCTAGCACACAATGCCCTGCCATGTGTGTTAAGTTTTGTTTCCCTGAATGAGCGGATGAGGTCAGGGAATGTATTTTCTGTTGGATGATGGGCTGCTGGTAAGTACCAGATAGTGGGCCCGGACGCAGATGCTCTCATTTGTTTTTTTAGTGTTTGGAGGATGAGGAGAGGAGGTCAGGTCTGGCCAGGGTTGGGCACATCATACAACACTTGTTGGTGGCAGTCCAGAGGATGGCAGGTAGGGAGGGCCAAGGGAGCCCCACTGGCCTGTACCCTGTCTCTCCCAGGCATGCATATTGAGAGGGGCAGCCAAGACAGGCCAGTGACACCCACAGAACAGTCACAGCTTTGCTGCTGACAGGGGCAGTGTGGAAGAGGGAGAGCGTACCTGTGACTGGGCACCAACCTTGGCTCTGACCCTTCCCAGCTGTGTGACCTCCCACACATGGGACATGTCTCTCAGTCATCAAATGGGAAAAAAGCATCCCTGCTCTTTCTTCCTCAGGCTTGACAAAAGGACCCAAAGAGATGACAGGAACGGAAAGAATTTTTTAAGTGGTCACGTGCCAGCCAAACATGCATGTTGTGGTGTGAGTACTGCCTCCTGCGGCCTGTGGAGAAAAACAACCTGGAGCCTCAGGAGCCTGCATCGAGACTGAAGCATGCAGAGGTCTCAGAGGCCTGCATTAGACCCAGCAGGGCCCAGCTGAGAGGACTGGGAGGTGTGTGGCTGCTTAACAGATATTTTCCCCAGCAGTCCGTGAGTCAGGACTACACTCGGCTGCCCGGGATCCCTCAGCCCTGCCTCCTCCTGAGGGCAATGCCCGAGAATGAGGAGTGGCTCCAGGTTTACTCACATCTTCATTAGTAGTCAGGTTGGAGGCGACGAGGTACGTGTGAAACCCTGAGAGGCCCAGAATGGACCAGATGGAGAAGAAGCAGATCACCAACTCCAGCACGGTGGGGGCAGTTAAGGACCCACACAGGTGGAGGGCGGGGAGCCTCCCAGCCACACCTGGCCTGCCTCACCCATCCTTCCATGGAGCTGTTTCCCCAGAGAGCTGAGAAGTTCTGGAACCTTCCTATGGCCAAGTCCCCACTTTCTAGCAGGATCACCTTCTGGGGCCCATGGAAGGGTCAGCACCCCACTCAAGAGCCAGACAAGGTCAGGGTGACGGACCGCAGAGAAAACTGAGGGTTCTAAATTACAAAGAGCCTCAGGCATGACATGATCCAGGGAGCTTGGCATCTTAAGGGACACATTCTCTTCAAAGCCCCTGAAGATGGGGATCTCCCTCTAGCCCCACAACGCCCCATTTAGGATCAGCTCTTGCCTGGGTATCAACAGAGGGCTGGTACATTGGATTCTAGAGGACAAATGTGCCCTGTATCCTGTTCCCCTCTGATTAGAGGATGAGGCATGGGACCCACCCAGTGAAGGGACCTCAGTTTCCACTGGAGTGTCCTCTAGCTGACAAAGGATATCTTGCTGGTGTCTCCTTCAGAGTGGAGAGGAAGTTGCTTCCCTGAGAGCCTGGGAGGAAGAAACAGGAAAGGACCAGCTCAGAGGAACAGTGACTGCTGAAGCTTGCTGACCCTTGAGCTTGCTGGCTGGCCCCTCCCACTCCCCGCTGCCCTCACTCGCAACTCACGCAACGTCAGGTGGGTGACCACGCAGGCAAAGATGAAGGCCGTCAGGAATGAGAGGGAGAGAATAAACGCGTAGAAGAAGCGATAGTTCCGTCTCCCCACACAGTTGCCTACCCAGGGGCAGTGATGGTCAAATCGTTCTGGACAAGGGCAAGGGGCAATGGGTTAGTGTGTGCTGGTCTGCAGTGAGCACAGGCATTCAGTGGCCTCACCCATGGCTGGCTGGGCTTTCCTACCCTTTCACTCTCACAGCACCAGCTGGCTCCCAGGCCTCGGACATACCTGCTTCTGGTTCCCACTGCCTGATGCACTCTCTCCTGTCCCTTTATCTGGTTCACTGTAACTCCTACTTCATGTCTCAGCTGTAAAGCCACCTCCTTAAGAAAGTCTCTTCCAATCCCAGACTAGGTAGGGGGCCCCTGTTATCTGCCACGTTGCTTCTCTTTTGTAGCACTCTGTCCATGTGTGTTTCTATGCTTATTTATAATTACCAGATTGGTCAATCAGTCCTACTTGACTATAAGCTCCATAGGCAAGGGGGCTGTGCTAGCCTCACACCATGCTGACTCCCCAGGATCCAGAGCAGTGCCGGCACAAAGACTCACAAAAGTACTTGTCACCTGGCCTACCATCCCAGCCACATGCTAACAGCCAATGACCCCTGTCCCCTGCTCTAGGACTAGTGGCCTAGGGAGGGGCTGGGCTACAATGTAGTTCACAGACAGCCAGCACATCAGGCCAGGTCAAAGGGCTGAGCTCACCTGCACACTGTCCCTGGGGGTAGAGGCACACCCTGACTGGTAGAGAAAGTCCTTGTGGCAATGTAGGTCACAAGCCCATTGCAGGCTTCATGCCAAGGCTAGCGCCCTTTGCAAGGGATGGGCAGGGTAGCTCCTCAGGGATGAATGATGCCTACTGAATCACCCCCTTCGCTGCATGCCGTCATGGGGTGTTCCCTGCTGTTCTCTTGCTCAGGGAGTACTGAGCTGGCATGATGAGCTCACTGCCCTGGGAACTGTGCATAGTCACTGTGGCTCAGCTCACCTGGGCCCTCTCATGCAGTGTATCCCTTACAACATCCTCCCAGGGGACCACCCATGGTGCCCATCAGAACTGCACAGCCTCTGGAGAGCAGTGAGAGGGGACAAAACAACCACTTCAGGCAGGTGTGGGGTCAGGAGCCATTTCCAGTGGCGACATCCTCTGCACCTCACCAGCTCTGTTCCCAGATGCTTGTCCCTCCCAACCCTGGGAATCAGATCAAAGTCTCTCAGTAAAGCTGGGCCTGGGCCACTGGACGGTAAGTCATTCTTTCTGGCCCAAACACATCTGTAATGTTATTGTTCCTGTCTGTTTCCTGGGAGCTTGGACCTCCTGAGGACCAGACTGAAGCTTGGAAGAAGGGTTCAAGGCCTCTGTCTACCCAACACTTCAGAGCTAGGGGAAGAAATTCACTAATCCTGAGCTGAAGCCAAAACACCCCTGGGCCCTCCTCAGTCAGGGAAAATCTGGGGGAACCAGTCCTCCTGCCCAGCCTTGGGTATTTCAGACACTGCCTACCCCATGCCCATGCATGACCACCTCCATACCCAGGACTCAGTCTCTCTCAGGAATCCCTGCACCCCTCCCCGCTGCCTCCTACTCACCCACACAGTTGTCGCAAACACTGCAGTGTGAGGTCCGTGGTGGCCGGAACATCTTGCAGGTGAAGCAGTACTTCAGCTTCACCATCTGCCCATTGATCATCACCTCCCGGGTCCGAGGGGGCGGCCGGTATGTCGAACTGCCTGTGTTGTCTGAGGGCAGGAGGAGAGAAAGATGGGGAATGCCAAAGACAGGCCAGAGCCCAGATCCCCAGCAGGGGAAAGCTACAGCTGCCTGGCCAGTCCAGGAGAAGCCTCATGGTAACAGGTTCTCAGGAACAAACACTGGAATAAAATGTCTGACCTAAGGCAGGGACATATATTAGGAGCAGCCACCATGTGCTGAGACTGCCTCTGTACCAGGCACTGTGCTAAAACTACACACTTGTTCATACACCTGTTAGCCTTACCTACTCCAAGAAGGGCTATCAGAGAAGGAGACCCCCAGAAGGCTTATGAGTATTTTTTTTTTAAGACAGACGTCTCACTCTGTTGCCCAGGCTGGAGTACAATGGCACGATCTCAGCTCATTGAAACCTCCACCTCCCACATTCAAGCGATTCTCTTGCCTTAGCCTCCCAAGTAGCTGGGATTACAGGTGTGTGCCACCACACCCAGCTAATTTTTGTATTTTTAGTAGAGACAGGATTTCACCATGTTGGCTGGGCTGGTCTTGAACTCCTGACCTCAGGTGATCCACCTGCCTCAGCCTCCCAAAGTGCTGGGATTACAGGAGTGAGGCACCGCACCCAGCCAGTGAGTTTTATCTGCATCTCATCAATCCTGGACCTGGGTCCCAGTTTACAGGAGGTTCAGAAGATGGAGGAACAAAGTAAGTAACACAATGAAGAGAAAGTCAGATCTAGAACATGAGACATCTGCAAGACTGCTGGCCTGATCTCTAACAAAAGCCAATGTCATTTATAAAAAGACAGGAGGTTTGGTGCAGCAGCTCAGCCTGTAATCCCAGCATTTTGGGAGGCTGAGGCGGGAGGATCACTTCAGCCCAAGGGGTCGAAGCTGCAGTGAGTGAAGATCATGCCACTGCACTCCAGCCTGGGCAACAAAGCCAGACCCTGTCTTTAAAAAAAAAAAGAGAGGCTGGGTGCGGTGGCTCAGGCCTGTAATCCCAGCACTTTGGGAGGCTGAGGCGGGTGGATCACGAGGTCAAGAGATCAAGACCATCCTGGTCAACATGGTGAAACCCCGTCTCTACTAAAAATACAAAAAATAGCTGGGCATGGTGGTGCGCGCCTGTAATCCCAGCTACTCAGGAGGCTGAGGCAGGAGAATTGCCTGAACCCAGGAGGCGGAGGTAGCGGTGAGCTGAGATCGCGCCATTGCACTCCAGCCTGGATAACAAGAGCGAAACTCCATCTCAAAAAAAAAAAAAAAAAGAAAAGAAACAGAGAGAGGAGATGATTCTAAATTAAGAGATTAAAGGCCAAGCACGGTGGCTCAAGCCTGTAATCCCAGCACTTTGGGAGGCCGAGGCGGGTGGATCACGAGGTCAAGAGATCGACACCATCCTGGTCAACGTGGTGAAACCCCGTCTCTACTAAAAATACAAAAAATTAGCTGGGCATGGTGGTGTGTGCCTGTAATCCCAGCTACTCAAGAGGCTGAGGCAGGAGAATTGCCTGAACCCAGGATGCGGAGGTTGCGGTGAGCCAAGATCACTCCATTGCACTCCAGCCTGGGTAATAAGAGCTAAACTCCCTCTCAAAAATAAAAGAGACTTAAAGAGATTTAAGAGACATAAACAAATGCAATACCTTTTATTTTGAAAAACAAAACACAGCAACAAAAGACATCTGGAGGGCAACTGTGGAAATGTGACTATAGATTAAAAATTAGGAAACAGGCTGAATACAGTGGCTCATGCCTCTAATTCCAGCACCTTCGGAGGCCAAGATGGGAGGATTGCTTGAGCCCAGGAGTTTGAGCCTGGGAAAACAGCAAGACTCCATCTTTATAAAAAAAAAATTACAAAAATTAGCTGGGTGTGGTGGCGTGTGCCTATAGTCCCAGCTATTAAGGAGGCTGAGGTGGGAGGATCATTTGAGCCCAAGAGTTCCAGGCTGCAACGAGCCAGGATTGGTCCACTGCACTCCAATGTGAGACCCTCTCACTAAAACAAACAAAACTTATACAACAATTAATTTTCTTAGATATGATAATCGAATTGTAATTATGTAGGAGATTATCCTTAGATTTTTAAGATACATGTTGGATTATTTATGGGTAAAGTATCCATGATATCTATAATTTACTATGAAATAGTTTAAGAAGAATATGTGTGTGTGTATATATATATATATGTGCGTGTGTGTGTGTATAGGTGTGTATATATATGTGTATGTATATTAATATATATAATATATACATATACATACATAGTGTCTTATTTTACATATATATGTGTGTGTTTATGTATATATATAATATACTACCAACTATTCAATCTAGATGGTGAATGTACAGGAATTAATTGTACTATAATCCTTCCTGCTTTTCTATGTTTGAAATTTTTATAATAAGAAATTTAAGAGGAAAAAAAATAGAGATATAGCATATTCATGGATTGGAAGACTCAATATTATGAAAGGATTTATTCTCTCTAAATCCAGTAGGTTGTTTTTGTGAAAACTGACAAATTCAATCCAAAATTCATATGGAGATGGCTGGGCATGGTGGCTCATGCCTCTGGTCCCAGCTATTCAGTAGGCTGAGGCAGGAGGATTGCTTGAGCCCAGGAGTTTGGGGCTGCAGTGAGCTATGACTGTGCCACTGCACTCCAGCTTTTGCAACAGAACAAGACCCTGTCTCAAACAAACAAAAGACACAAAGAGCCTAATAATAAAACAGCCATTTGATAAAGTACATTATATCAAAATTAAAAGTTTTTTTCATTTAAAGATAATCATTAGGCTAGGTGCAGTGGCTCACACCTGTAATCCCAGCACTTTGGGAGGATGAGGAGAGCAGATCACCTGAGGTCAGGAGTTCAAGCCCAGCCTGACCAACATGGAGAAACCCCATCTCTACTAAATACACAAAGTTAGCTGGGCATGGTGGTGCATGCCTGTAATCCCAGCTATTCGGGAGGCTGAGGCAGGAGAATCACTTGAACTCGGGAGGCAGAGGGTGCAGTGAGCCAAGATCACGGCACTGCATTCCAGCCTGGGCAACAGAGCAAGACTCCATGTCAAAAAAAAAAAAAAAAAACCATGTAAAGAAATCCTGTAAGTCAGTAGGAAAGTCAGACAACTCAATACAAATATAGACAAAAGACTTAAGTAGGCATCTCATAAAAGGGCCTGTCCAAAGAGCCAATAAACACATGAAAAGGTGCTTATATTAGTCAGCCAGGAAATGCAAATTAAAACCACAATATGCTACTATGACACATGTACTAGAATGGCTAAATGAAAAAAATAAAACATTCCAAGTGTTGGCAAAAAAAGTAGAGCAACTAGAAATCTCGTATGACCACTTTGGACAACTGTTTGGCAATAGCCACCCAAGCTGAACATATGCATGCCCAGAACACCCGCTCTCAGGCATCTACCCAAGAGCAATGTGCACGAGATAATGTGCACTGAAACACATGTACAAGGATGTTCACAGCAAGAATTCTCATAATAGCCAAACTCTGGAACTACCCAAATATCCCAATAGTAGAGTGGATTTTATTTTTTTATATTTATTTTTTTGCCAGGGAGCCGAATACAGTCTGAACACATATTTTTAAAATTAATTTTATTTATTATTATTATTTTTTGAGACAGAGTCTCACGCTGTTGCCAGGAGCTAGGCTGGAGTCCAGTGGTACAATCTCGGCTCACTGCAACCTCCGCCTCCCGGGTTCAAGCAATTCTCCTGCCTCAGCCTCCCAAGTAGCTGAGACTACAGGCGCATGCCACCATGCCCAGCTAATATTTGTATTTTTAGTAGAGACGGGCTTTCACCGTGTAGGCCAGGATGGTCTTAATCTCTTGACCTCGTGATCTGCCTGCCTCGGCTTCCCAAAGTGCTGGGATTACAGGCTTGAGCCACTGCGCCCAGCCAGCCACCGCGCCCTGCCTTTAAAAATTTTTTTTATTATACTTTCGGTTCTGGGGAGAATGGATTTTTTAAAAAATTCACGGCTGGGTGTGGTGACTCATGCCTGTAATCCCAGCACTTTGGGAGGCTAAGGCAGGCGGATGACCTGAGGTCGGGAGTTTGAGACCAGCCTGACCAACATGGAGACACCTGTCTACTAAAAATACAAAATTAGTCAGGAGTGGTGGCACATACCTGTAATCCCAGCTACTCAGGAGGCTAGGGCAGGAGAATTGCTTGAATCTCAGTGAACTGAGATCACGCCATTGCACTCCACCCTGGGCAACAAGAGCAAAACTCCATCTCAAAAAAAAAGGTAGTATATTTACACAGTGGAATTCTACATAGCAATGAGAATCGAAATATTGTCAACTACACACAATAATATGAATGATTCTCATAAAGATTGTCTGGCCAGGCATAGTGGCTCATGCCTGCAATCCCAGGACTTTGGGAGGCCAAGGTGGGGCAGATCACTTGAGGTCAAGAGTTCAAGAACAGACTGGCCAACATGGTAAAACCCCATCTTTACTAAAAATACAAAAATTAGCCAGGCTTGGTGGCCCACACTTGTAATCCCAGCTACCCAGGAGGCTGAGGCAGGAGAATCGCTTGAACGCAGGAGGTGGAGGCTGCAGTGAGTCAAGATTGCGCCACTGCACTTCGGTCTGGGCGACAGAGCGAGATTCCATCTCAAAACAAAATAAAACAAAAAAAATTGTGTAAAGTAAGGAAACCATACCTACAACACAAAATGTCCAAAAATAGGCAAAAGCAATCCATGATGTTAGAAATTAGGATTGTGGTTACCCTTGGAGGGTGACAGTGATCTGAAGCGGGCACGATTTTTTTTTTTTGAGACAGAGTCTCACTCTGTCACCAGGCACCAGCCAGGCTGGAGTGCAGTGACACGGTCTCAGCTCACTGCAACCTCCACCTCCTGGGTTCAAGCAATTCTCCAGCCTTGGCCTCCTGAGTAGCTGGGACTACAGGCACGAGTCACCATGCCCAGCTAAATTTTTGTATTTTTTAGTAGAGATGGGGTT